CTCTCGCTTATGTCTGCTACTTATATCATCATGGAGAGCATAAAATCAGTGTTAAACGCCGATCTTCACTGTCGCACCTGTCTGCTACCTACAGTAAACACAAAGCCAGTATCTATGCGGGCCGATAGAAACCAGTTTCCAACTATGCGTGACATCTTAACGACCAGCGGCTGCCCGTCATACTCGTAACTACAGTTGATATCGCCTAACTTGGCTACTCATCGTAATTGCAACACCCGAGTCTATGTGCAACGCTTAGTATAAAGCTGACGGTCTTTCATACTATACGCGAAGCCGCTTATCTTCGCTACTTACAGTAAACATCAATCCAATATACATGCCGACCGGTAAAAACAATGACTCAGCTATGGGTGATAGCCTAATCTGACGGCCTGTTATACTCACAACTGTACTCGGAGTCACCTTACTTGGCTATTTATCGCCATACTCACACTTACTCGATGCCGTTCATGTTTGCTACCTTCAGCAAACATCAAAACTGTAGTCGACGTAACCTACGGTGGCTACCTGTAGTAACTGTCAGGCCCGTACACACGGTCGTAGCCAACGACAATGCCCCGGCAACACATAATAGTCTAACCCAACGACCAGCGGTTATCATCACCTGTCAAACTACAATTACCACCCAGTTCGACAGCGCACTCCCAACTCCTACTCTTGATTGTACCCTCGACCACTCTCTCCACTACCCGAAACAATGAGCCGTCGCTCACCACGACAACTTAGCGTAACTGCTATTCGCGACGCAGATTATGAGGCCTCACCTATGCACGCCAAAGTAATACAATGGCAAACGACGGCGCTCCATACTCATAACTCCACGCGTTGATAATGCGCCCGCCATGAATTTACGAAAACACTATTGGCAAATTGCATTTTATTCATTGGCATCACTGATACAAGCTTAATTAGTAGTTGCTCCATTTCTCATTTTCATAAGATCCAATTCACGGGACAAGGATTTCGAAACCAAAAAATGGGCAAGGAAATAGTGTTCGGAATCAGCATTTAAGCGTCTGGATGCAATGGAATTTTATTTTTTGCTTACATACTGGTTCATAATTTACGTTACCGGGATGAGGGATTAATGTATGGTCGTTGCGGAGTGCCGTGGATTCATTGAATCGGCATTTGAGGCCTTCGAGTTACAATCAAAAGAATTCCTTGTCATCACGAGATTCGAAAGCAAATTCTACAAAACATATGCCAAGAAAGTAGGCCTCAAACTACCTGATTGGCGGCGCACGTTGTCATCGGGAAGCGAAAAGTAAAATGTAGATGTCTCCCACCCGATTTTCTAGGCGGTCAAAATACTAAGTGGTATGAATTTCATATTCCCGGATTATCCGTTCGCTGCAATGAGCGACCTACTGGACGGCATGTTCCAGGCTTATCTGAGCGAGCACGCGTCTCTTCAAACGCCCGTTGGCGTTCTGCGGGCGGTTGTTGGTCACATTCCCAAAATTTATCAACCCACGTTGTTGATGAATGGCCTACTTTCGAGTGATGTGGAGCCAGTGGGCAGGCAAATAAGAGACAAAACTGGGATCTGTTCTCCTCAGGATTTGCAAATCGTGGCGAAATCTATGCGATTAATGTTTGGTGCACAATCACTTACTCAGCTGCATTATCAAAGCGAGTCATACGGTGGAATATGTGCCGACTGCGGTTGGAAATTGCCTGCAAAAGTTACACCAGAGCAATGAAACTTACGTGCTTCCGGATGACTTGCCGTGCGTGAAAATAGCACAACATTATGTCGCAGCCGAATACAGCTTTGGCAGCCCGCATCTGCAAAGTCATCTTGTCCACGACGAACGTTTTGACTTCATAGTGTCTACCCATCATATCCTTGAACAAGCTGAACAGCTTGCGCAATGGCGCAAAATGCTCGCTTTCGACAAAGGCATACATTACGGGTCGAACGATACCCATGCCATCCGTCACAAGGAATGTACAAAGCTTGTAACTTAACAGCGAACGTGAGGGGCTCTAAATTTATTTACCCAAGACGGTTAGTGCCGTGTGTAGCATCAACGTTTACAACGTCCGGGAAACGTTTAAAGAGGACTATCTGCTGCGTTCGAGAAAAGCACAGGTGACCATATCTGCCACCCT